GCATGCAATGTCATGGCTTGCTTGTAGTGACGGATGTGATCGGTGGGGTTTGATTTTCCATCATAGAGAGTGAACGGCGGAGCTTTGAACTTTTTGGGCAGAATCGCCCTTGCGATTCGTCGCACAAAGGGATTATGCTGGTCTTCCTCATCTGAACTGTTTCTTCTGCGCTTATGCCTTATATGTGGACTTTCTTCAGAGGAACTGGAAGTCTTGGATCGTCCCTTCTTCTTGGGCTCCGGGGATAATGAGTCGGAGTCGCTATTAGTGTCTTGTTGTCGGGCTCGAGGTCGTCGACCACCTGCCCTCAGAGGTCGTTCCGGATCTTGGCATACAGCTTGTTTGGACTTTGCCACTTCCAAGGCCAAGTCCTGACGGAGACGTTCGTTCTCAGCGATCATGTTCTCCCACCTCTGTTCGTTTTGCTTCACTTGTTCCATGATCGCCTGCATTGCCTCATGCTCTGAAGTCGAGGGTGAGGCGAAGTTCAAAGGGCGTCTTGCGGGGATAGTCTTTGGTCCAAGCATGTTTGCTGGAGTGAGGTCATCTCTCTGAGTGGTTTCATCAGTGATTATCGAAGGGTCTTCCGTTACGCCCGCCATGGATGTATTTGAGTATTCCCACGGACGGCGCCAATTGTAGAGAAGTGGTTTGGAAATACTTTTCAGATCTTGGGGGACGCTAGTGATCCTCAGCTAGTCACCTGAAAAAGAATTAACACTCCGGTCGGGGTGACAGAATTAGCACTCCGACGGGCAAGTCAGTCTCTACTCTCTGAATTACTTGTATTTTAAGTTAAGTGTAATGGTTCTCACATACTTTTCTCTGACTGATGATCCCGTATTTATAGTGTTCTCTTTGGGCCTTAGGGCCAGGCCCATCCTTGATCCTTTATATGTACTTCTACTCAGCCTTTGTTCTATTGGCTAGAGTGCCGGTTATTTTATTCGGCTCTTCGATTGACTAGGATAAATTTTGAATAGATGTTACGTTTCGAACCGGACGGGCCCATTCGTCCCTATTGATCCAGTTAAATTCGGCTCCCATGAAGTGTGAGTTCTGTAATCTCCCTCCAGGATAATTCTATAGTAGATATCTCTCTCCGTGGACGTTGTGTCACATTTTTCTGTGTGTGTGATTGATTTCTGAGTGTGCCTAATCCTAACACGAACCTCTAATACTATGAAATTTTTGGAACAATAATTCACTGAGATTGAATTACCATAATCTCATCCAACCCACAACCCTCCAACTTTTCCGTGACTATTACTACTATAGCTATACTTAAACCCCATCATATACCCAACCTTACTTGCCTGTTGAACAGATGTTTTAGTCTCCATTAGAAAACAAAGATTTGGTTTATACTCCCTAGTCAATTGCTTTGCTGCTCGAATGTCAGAGGATGACCGAGACCCTTGCAATTCCAGCATAAAATCGTCATGGGGATAGAGGAGGTTGTTATGGGACAACCTCCTGCAAAATCCCACGCTGATTGAATTTAGTTAGATCTATAGCTAGGTCCATAATACGCGCAATCTCCAATTCCATATAGAACTGCTCCATGTTCACCCAATTCAGATTCCCCGACTGGTATTGCTCTCTGCTTTCAGGTGAACTAACCTTCGTATCATAACATGACTCTGAGCCTTGTGTCTCCACGGTAATTCTAATCCTATCTGTTGCAGATCGTCGCTTCCGCGCTCTGGAATTTCCCTCCCATTGGCCATATCTAGTTTCTTGATCAACCCTCTCATTGACAACCCTGCGTCTAACCATCCGCTTTCGTAAATTTTGCCTTTGCTTAAAGGGCACCTCTTCCATTTCTCCTCGTGATTGCACAACAGTGCCATGGTATTGCTTTAGTTGCTGACTTCGACCCTGTTTCAGATGGCTAAAATTCTAACACTTGAAGTACCCCAGATGGCATGGAAGACATCAGAAATCCCACTAGACCCATGAATGAGGGGTGGATACGATTGTCCCCATGGTGGTCCAAAAGATACGTCGACTCGCTCCACTACCTCTGTTTCATATGCAATCATAAAACCTGACTCCACCTCGCTTATCTTTTTTTTTGGTGGCCCACTTATTACCCAAAAAGAGTCCACAGAATGACTTTGCCCATCCATTAACTGTTTTCCTTTCGATAGTCTGACCACTGAAGAGTTAGGTTGTAAATTCTCAATATTAACTGCGCTTGAGGCTTGCTATCTGAAAAGCTTGAGTAGTAACTTGGGCCTCTCCTAAAGGAAAATTAAGTCTAAGACCTAACCCATCTCTCTTAAGATCTCTAACTACCTCCTCATCATCCTTATTAAATAACTCATGACCTAATCCATTAGTGTATTCATCACCCTAACCACTCTCCTCAGCTACATGCGGTGGAGCCATCACTTCGCTTCCTCCATCAATCACTAAATGACCAGTCTTAATTCCCATTGCTGATAATTCATCCTCCCATTTATGCCAAAGTAACTCCAATTCACCTACTGACTCTGTCAGTTCTTGACCCAAATTTGAAAGAACCCGATTTTTTTTTTTAATCTCCTTGGACCCATTGATGGACCAACCTGAGCCAATGGTTCAATCTGCATACCATTGCATTGTGCTTCTGCTTGCCGTCGCCACTGTCGTTCTTCATCATTTACGAACCAGAAGGGCTACAACCCATGATCCCAATCCCTATCGCAATTGTCCACAAAATTATCCGTATTTGGCATCGACAGAGCTTCATCCTTCCCATAACTTCTGGAATCAGATTCTATCCCGTCACTTGAAACACGTGTAGTTCTCTAGTCTGGATGGTGAGCATTTGCCCTTATCCTCAACGTGTACGTGGCTTGATTTTCTTGCGTTAGAACCGAACCGCTACTCCAAATCTCCGTCCCGTTTCCTCAATTCCGTCATCTAAAACACGCTGAGCTTCATCAAAAGTTAGAGGGCAATGACCTTGCGTATGGCCCACTCTTCCACAATTTCAGCACACCCAACAAAGTCGCTCATAGCTACAACTAATCCATTAATGATGCCCATCTCTAAAACTTCAAAAAGAAACCACTAATCAAAGGTTGATCAGTTGGAATCCATACCCTAATATGCAAAAAACAAATGTTGCGAGGCATTAGCATGTCAATATTAACTTTAATGATGTCCCAGGAGATCATCAACTAATCACCCAATCTGAACCCAGTTTTCTCTGTAAAATACTCCAACGGCAGACCATACAACTTAACCTAGACTGCCATTTTATCTATCACTAGATTTTCCATGACCATATCAGGTTTCCAATAATCGACAACAATTCTCTGCAATACGATGCATGTCATGCTCATGTTCAAACAAAAACACAAAAAAGTTCTTGCTTCGACCATATACTAACACATATCCTTCCCAATTCCATATCTCATTGATATGGAGCTGCATGATATAGGAAACAAAATGACGGACATCTAGAATGTATCCAATCAAGCAACGTTCAAGTTCATGGTGTTCAAGATTCCATGCAGATTCCTCCATATCCATGCTTATACCACACTGACCGTGATGTCTAGTTGGTAGCACAAAAACCTCACCAGGGGCAAAGACTTCTTTCCTCAGAAAATTCATTTCCTACTTCTGTGTCACTACTATCCGTCCATCCTCCTTCACGTATCAAAGAATTCACCATAAACACGGACAAATCAAACTAGTCCCACCACATACCGGGCCCACAAACTCAAATTGGACCGTCCAATCCACGCTAAGGCCTCGCTTGGCAAGTGATTTTTTTAGCCAAAAAGTCACTAAAAAAATCAAAAAACCAACAACTCATACTAAAAAGTCAAAGATTTTCTTTTCTCTCTAATTTTTGCACATCTTTTCGTAAAAAGTTAAAAAATTATCCAAAACATACTAGTTTTTTTTACATTACATTTTATCTAAAAAAACTAAAAAATTACTAAAAAAGCCTATTCCCAAACGAGGCCTAAGCTAACTCCTTATAATAATTCATATATTACGTTTTATTAACATGTTCATCCTCTATCAATATTAATTATTATATTTTGATAACAACTTTTACCATCCACAATTAAATCCACATTAAGGGTTATGCTTACATGTGCCTCCAAAATACTAATCAACATATACATTTTCTTATGTTCTATTCGACCGTGTCACCCACGTTAGGCAAACGTTAACGAAACCTTTGAACTTTACATTAAACATATAAGCATAACTATATTAATCATAGATCAATTCTCAGATTTTCTGTTACAATACATTCTAGCAAAATAATATGAAAAAAATATATGAGATATAAAAATTTCAAAATATGATCATAATATTGAGAGTGTGTTGGCACTTTAACTACTATATAATATGATAAAAATTTTGAGACACATAAGTTTTAGAAATGATCATACGACTAAAAATGCATTAGGTACTCTGATAGTATAATATAGTGAAAATTTCATGATATGATATGATCATTTCCTAAATTATCCTTATCCAATGTCAGATTTTAATTTCAAATTTCAAATTTCAAATTTTAACAATTTTTTTTTTTATTTTTTTAAACCAAAATTATTGATTTTTAGCATACTTATCAATGGGCATATTGTCTAATATATATAATATCAACAATGATAAAGACCACTTTTTTGGAGACCCATTTTTTGGAGATCCCCACAATTTCTAAAGTGATCCATAACATTTATGATGTAGGCTTCACACCTACATGAGTGGGCCCTATATATTATGAGTGGTGTGATTCACTTTAGAGGTTGTAGAGGTTTTAAAAAAAGAGAGACTCACTCATTTTTCATATAATATATACTTGAAATTTTTTAAAAATAATAAATCCTATAAGTTTGACATAATGACATTATTTTCTGAACATTTTAATTGAGATTCATTTTCTTTTATTCTGTTTTTCATCCATAAAATATTACTAAAATTTGTTTTGGGGAATCAAACAGTTCACACCATAATATATAAACACAAGCTTCTCATCTCATTCTCAAGTCACCAATTAAAACCCAAAGCCAATTTTTTGGTCCAAACAGACCCTTTTCCAAGTTTTCAAGGTACAACAATGGATAATGAAGAACACCACCACCACTTCCAATTTGAACTCGACCCGGTCCTCATCTGCCTCATCGGAGTACTTAGTGGCCTATTCATTGTTGCCGGCATCCATTGCATTTCCGTGTGTTGGTGCCGCCGCCGCCGCCAACCCCGAATCGTTACAACAACCAGTCAACAAGAAAATGAGTCCCCCGTGGCCAATTCAGAAGGAGGTCATCAACTAATCACAGTGTATAGTTATAACACCAAAGAAGGAAGCAAAGAAGGTAGTTGTTGTCCAGTGTGTTTGAGTGAATTTGATGAAGGAGAGACCGTTCGAGTCCTATCTGAATGCTCACACTGTTTTCACGTTCTGTGTATTGATTCGTGGCTTCGCTCAAACCCCAGTTGCCCCCTTTGTCGTGCTGGGACTAAGCCTCCACCTCCACCTCCGCCGCCAGACCATGTTGTGGTGTGTTCGCCGAGTTCCGGTGGGGTTCCTCCGCCGCCGCTGCCGGATATTTTCTATCTTTAGAATTTTGTATCTTTAAAATTTTGTGTCGTGTGTTACAAAATTAGGCTTTCTTTGAAAATTGATTATTTTTGTTGAGTTTTTAATTTTTTACGACAAGCGTGCAGAAAAAAAAATAATAATAAATAATATGATAATTTATAATAATTTTTTAATTTTTTAACTAAAAAATATTCTTACAAACATAGCCTTAATATTGAAGTTAATTGTGTATTGTAAAACAAATAATGCTATATGCACTAATTAGTGTACTAACTAATATATCAATTGATGATGTGACGTAATTTAAGAAGTTTTTGACATTTATAATGTGATTAATGAGTGAGATCAATAATAATGTTATAACTAGTGTTGATATACTATAGTTAATATATTAATTAGTGTATGTAATACCACCCTTTTAAAACAGATGATCAACTTATCATTTAGTCAAAAACATTCATTATAAATTTTACTACCCATGACATCCTTAACATAAGGTGTGACCTTGTTTGTAGTTAAAAAAAATTTGTGGTAAAATATTAATTAAAAAGATAATAGCTTAATTTTATTGTTAAATTTTTAATGACTATACTTCTTATGGCTAAGATATTTTGTCATTAAAAAATTATTTTATATTTTAAATTATGTTTCCTTCGCACAAATTTTTTGTAAATTTTTTTTGAGATCTCAATGAATAAGTGGCTAAAGTGCCAAACCCCCACCATCTCGTCTTTTTTCTTTTTCCAACATAAGCCCCACCCTCTAGTCTATGTAGGATCACAACTAAATTTAAGCTGAGTGGAGCTAAATCTCTCTTAATGGAAACCCTGGCCCAAACTCTTGTGCTTTAAATACGAAATTTCAATTTCAATTTGAACCACCTTGAAATTTGGGGAGATTTTTTTTGATAGATTGCTTTAAAAAATTATTTTAATTATTACTTTAATTTATTATTTGATTTTGTTCAAACTTTCTTCTAGGATTTAGGGTTTTAAAAATAATAAAAAACAATGATGTTGATGATGATGGTCAGTTTTGATAAGGTAGATTGGAGTTTTGAAGGGAGGATAGAGAAAAGAATAATAATAAATAACTTTGATCTTTTAGGAAAGAAGATATAAAGATTTGAATATGAATAATTAATTAGGGTGTACCATGAGAAGAAAAAAAAATTATTTTAGAGTTTAATATGTGTTGTCTTTATTAATAAATTTATATTAAGATATAATAAGAATTTAAATTTATGAATTTAAATTAGGGGTACTAAGACATATTTGGGGGTCAAATAGAATCCCCTGAATTTGGGCTGTGGAGAACTTGGCTTTGTTTTGGGCTATAGAGAATGTGGGCTGATATTTGAAATGCTTATTGCAGTAGAATTTTTATGAATAAGGCTAGCTATCAACTGTGGTGAATAAGATGTTTAATATCTATTCTCTTGCAAAATTTTATGAGTGATTAGTGTTTAATTGGATTGTAAATCGGACCTAATACACCATACATCTTCGATTTTTGATTGATTGATGTTGTGGGTTTAACATAACATGAACAATTTTCTCAAGTCATAAAAATATCAGTCATATTTGATTTGATTTTTTAATTATATATATATATATATATTTAAAAAATAAATAGAAATTAATTTGAAGAAAATAAATATTAAAAATATATTTTTTGAATTTTTAAAAATAAATTCTACCCTCTCAAAAGATGAAACTATATAGAAATAATTAAATTTTTAAATTTTTTCATCAAATTAATTTTTATATAAAAAAAATAATAATAAAATTCTAAAAATCAAACTAAATCGTATTTTTTAATTTTAATTTTAATGACATAACTTTCTCCTTTTAATCACAAATACAACTTGGAGTTTTGAAATTCTTTTTCTACACAATTTTACAACATTCAACGATTAATAATTTGAATAAAGATTGGGACTCCCTTTCCCCCACTCCCTTTGACCCCCTTTCTTTTTTGATTGATCATTTTTTTTTTCTTCTCCTCCAATCACCACCCGTCACGTATGTGTGGGGTGGTGGGACCTTAATGGCTTCTTTTATAGACTTTGGTTGTTCAAAATATATATATATATATATATATTTAATATTTATATATAATTCAACTTTTTAGAGAGTCCTTTCTCCGTCTCTTCCTCTAAATCCAATTCTAATGATATCTATCTAAATTCTTGAATTCAAAAACATATTCAAGTTTTTTTAAAAAAAATAAAAATAAAAAATTCTCGATTTTGAAGATGCACCCTTAACATTACAACATAATTTTAAATTAAAATTTGTTTCGGTATAATATTTGTTTTCAGAAAATATGACTTTGTGGCAGACAGTTGCATCAACCGACACAGAGATTGATTTTCCCTCTCAAACCCAGAATCTCACCTACTACCAAACAGAATCCTTCTTCCAAGCTTCTTCAACCGACACCACAATCATACCCAACTCCCTCAAATTCCAATTCCAGCTCTTCTTTTCCACCAATCTCACCTGATTCACAAAACCCACCAAAACCCTAACCCTAATTTTCAATGAAAAGGACTCGCATTCACAGTCTCAATCTCTTCTGTTTCGATCGAAAATGGCTAATCCCATTCTTGTTCATATCAAGCATCTCTCTCTTTTTACTTCTCGTCACAATCCCAACCCAAGACAAATCAAATTCCACCTCTCTTCCCCAATCGAAATCCTCAGTTTTAATTACGAATTCCGGCGCCGGAGCTCACCGTTTGGGGCTGCCGGAGCTGCCGAGGTTCGCGTACTTGCTGTCCGGCACCGGAGGCGACGCGCCGCCCCTGAAGCGGCTGCTTCAGGCGGTGTACCACCCGAGGAATTCCTATCTACTTCACCTTGATCTCGAAGCTTCGGATTCCGACAGGCTTGAGCTGGCGAAGTATGTGAGATCGGAGACGGTGATTGAGGAATTCAAGAATGTGATGGTGGTGGGTAAGGCTAATTTGGTTACGAATAAAGGTCCGACGATGATGGCTTGTACACTTCACGCCGTTGCGATATTGTTGAAGCAGGCGAAGTGGGATTGGTTTATAAATCTTAGTGCTTCGGATTATCCTCTAGTGCCGCAAGACGGTTAGATTCTTCTTAAACATGAATTAATGTGAATGGAAATTCAAATTTGATCTGCATTTGGTATTAATTGGAAATCATTTTATGTTGGTTTTATGGGTCTGCAATTTTTGATGTTGTTAGTTTGATGATTGTTGAAATGCATGTTAATATGTGCATTACTGGTAATTTGAAGTAAAAAAATAAAAAAATAAATTTGAGCGTACTGGCCTAACATTCATATTCTGTGGCGTGAAATTTGATTATTTGAAAACTAAATATCAGATCTTGAAGAATCTGGAATGTGGCTTTGTTGGGTTAGGTTCAGCTAGAGGAATGGCATGGCATGGCATTTTTAAGTATATTTTAAGAATTTTTATTTTTATTTTACCTGAAATATTGGTGCTAGGTTACAATGCAGAAGTTAGATGGGCTTAATTTTCTGTAACTTACATCTTCTTTTTGTGGTGATATTCATGGGACATGATGACATGTATTATTGTCCCAAAGGCCATCCAGTGTAAGATCCAGGAAGAGGCAGATTATTCGAGGAAGTTGCTGAAACCATGCTCTAGTAGTTGGTGGGGAAGTGGCAGGGGAATCACGATATTTCATAGTCTTGCAAATATTCCTTGCTAGTATTTCTTATTAATGGTCATAGTACAAGTCAATTCGAGCATTTTAAGAAAGAATTCACTATTGCCAAGGACAACTATAACTTGAAGAAGATGCCTCTGGTAATCATAATACCGTTTTTCCTTGTACAACTGCTATTGTTTTGGGGGGGTTTTTTTGGCTGTGAGAAAGAGTTGATTGGTAATCAAGGATTTTTGCATCAATTGGTTGTAGTTAGGAGCTTAACTCATTGTCACTTCTATATTTAAGTAGGTATCCTTTAGACCAATACTATGAGACTGAGTGTGTGTGCGCACACATGTTTTTTTGTTGCCTGTTAGCAGTTAGAGATGTTTATCTTGTTGAGTGAAGTCCAGCTAGACAGTGAGATTGAATTTGATGGTTGCTTCATTAATTTTCTGGTGCAAATAGGAAATGGGGGTTTTGTCGTTTTAGTTTGGTGGAGAATGCTGACGTTCTGCAGTAAATATGCTTGCCTTATTTTGTTTGGATAGAGTTATGTAAATTAGGGAATTTTTGGCTTGCTATATTTGGGAATTTTCTTATATTAGTTTTAATTGAAGCAATTTATCGCAATATATGGTATTGTCAAGCACTTTATTGATGTCTACTATATTGCTGTCTTCACAATGTGATAAAGGTTTTGTTGACTCTATGTATATATATATATGTTCTTTTTGTTCCAGATCTCCTCCATATATTCTCATACTTGCCTAGGGATCTGTGAGAGCATGCAATTCACGTCTCTGAACTTGTCTCCATAGATTATTTATTTACATCTGGTAGTTATGGTTTTTTATTTGCTCATGTATGTAATTATCATAGAGTAATTCCGAGTGTATGCTTGCAGATATCAAAGAGCAAGGCCTATCATTATAGATCCAGTCTTGTATCACCCAAAGAAATCTGGTGTATTTTGGGCCAAAGAGAAAAGATCCATGCCTGCTTCATTTAAGTTATTCATGGGTATTTTCTCAACTTTTGCTTCGTATCACCAATTTACTAATTTATTTGTTCCATTGTCCATGTGGATAATTAAGTACCTCTTCTTCTACGTTCATCTTTTCACCTTCATATTTGGAGTGCTGATTTATTCATGTATATATGGTTTTACGTAATGACAGGTATCGGCTAAGAGAAAATTGTTTTCCACAAATTTTGTGTAGTTTTGCAGTTTCAGATTAAGAATTTGTCAAAACAGATGCTGCAGTCCTCAAATAAGAAAAATTTTGTGTTCCTGGGGCCTGAGAGCTCCTTATGGAAATTTAGGCTTGATATTTAACTTCTGCCCCCCATAGGCATGACTGTTGGAAAGTATGCAAAAAAGATTAAGGGCAAAATGAAAATTTTGCATTGAGCATGTTTAGGGCATTGTTAAATGAAGTTTGGGTTAATTTAAGCCAAAAT